AGTTAATGGTAGCCAACTGGTCCAAGTCTACATTTTTTACAAATCTTAGGTTTGACCGTAACACGCCAAATCAACGATTCTTCTTCCCTCTTTCCAACCCTCATTATCAACCGATTTAGGAAGAGTTGATGTCTTGTAGAGCTGGTTTGGTTGACACGTAATAACTGGTTACCTGCACTATTGTTATGTTCTATAATAAAAGTCGTAATACTTGAGTTTTCTGCATCTTTTTACACTTTTTTTGAATCGACCGAGCGTAACACGCTGTAAGACGCCATGTTAGATATCTGCGGAAATTACGTCATTTTCTTGGGGAATACTACCACGTGACCGGGGATATTCGCTATTATTAGAATTCCGACTTTATACGTAAACAAACGAAGTTAGTTACGATAAATGGCGTGATATGGCGGTAATTGTCGAAGATTGCCGATTTCATTATGGGTCTTCTACCTTATAATTTTTTAACTGTTATTGTGAACTACAATACCCTCCATGATACATATGATGTTTCAATTTGATAACTCTTGGGCAAAAAATAAAAATTTGTTTGTTTCCACTTCCCGACCCATTAAAATAAGGTTGGGTAGGTAGGTAGGTAGGTTATAGCACGGACTTTAATTGATTAATTTAAATCCGTGGTTATAGGTAGGTACATGAAGGACTTTTTTATTTGTGCATAATAATATAATTCCTTGGCAAAATAGTTATTTACTGAACAAAGTTGGATTAACTTTCAGAACTGATATGTTTGTGGCGATTATCTGGCAAACTTGTTTTTATAGAAAAGTTTCTGGTGAACTTTCAGCGAATATTTTTTTTGATAGAAAGATTCTGGCAATCTCTGGCAAATTAGTTTTCCACTGAAAGTTTCTGGCAAACTTTTGGCGAACAACTTAATATTCTGGTGAATTCGCCGCAAAGTCGCCAAATGTTTGCCACAGAGTTGCCACTAGTGGCGATATCTGGCAAACACTTGACACAGTGTTTTGGCGAACTAAAAGGTTTGCAGCGAATTTGCGGCAAAGTTGCGGCGAATTTGCGGCAAACCTTTCCTTTTGGTACGGGAAGTACAACGGATAGGAAAAAGTATAAATGTTTGGACCATTGGCTGAAATTACAAAATAAAAGTTGTCTTATAAGCCTGAAACTGTAGCGCAGCAGTGATTTTGTCATAGATTTATTAATTTTTTGAGCAATTGCATTTTGATTTACTGTTATAGTGTTCGGATGATGCGAATGTAATGCCAATTTCGGATACTAAACCAAACTATATACGCTTGTAGATCTATCATAAAAATATAGTGAGAACAACTTTCTACGGTATTTAAAACTTATAGATACATTGTGTCCTAAACTTGGCAACAATGAACTGGATGGTATCCAGTGATACACCTGTTTTATACAGATAATACTTCATACTGGAGACATGACAAGTGCATTATCATACATTCTGATTTAGCCAACACTGTCTGCAAGTGCATCTTATCAGCAATGTTAACCAGTATGAAGGGGGACCAAGAAGCTTGGGCAGTTTTGTTCATTTATACTAATATTTATGAAAGTTATGTTTTGACATCTGCTGGTAGTATAAGATCCAAGTACATGTATAACAACATAAATACCGTATTTTTCATTGAACGTTGGATAGAGCTCCTATCCTAACTTTAAAACCAGCACAACAAACTCAACTTCTAAAATGTTGACATGTCAGGTGAAAATTGTTTCGTTTACATATTGTATACAATTAACTTTAAAGGGACGCGCTTATGTTTTTGTAACTTTAAATGAAATGAAGTGTGGCGAATCATTGGGATTGTTAAACACATGTTTTAAATTATTTGCCACCTTTAGTTTGCATACAAAATACATTTTGTACAATAATTGTGTTTTTTCTGCTATTTCGATATCATGGAGTAAGATAATGAATAAAATTCAGTGTTTTCAGATGCATTACTGTGAAAACTCATTTTTGGTTCCAAAACATGAGTGAGTCCCTTTTAAAGAGTTTCTGTCCATAAAACCATTATGCACCAGTCAATTGTAACCACGCCCCCCCCTCCCCCCAAATCAGGGAAATAGCGGGGACTTTGACTTTCGGTCCAGCCAACCCCAGCTAAAATGCCCGCCCTGCGTGGACAAACTGATGGTCAAATCCCTGCCCCCACACCCAAGGGAACCTAGATAAGGCCTTTTCCCTGCTATATTTTACACGAAGAAAAAACACCGCATTCACCCGGCACTGCGGGGCCACCTGAAAGGTAAAATACACGGCCCTTTCCCCCGGTATACCCCAGACCTTGGGGGGGAGGGGCGTGGTTACAATTGACTGGTGCATTAGTCAAACACAACTTTTAATGTAAATGTGTAAATTTAGTATTTTTTTATTTTTTGAGCTTCTTGCTTTTAAATTTAAATTAATTCTTTCATATGTCTGTAGGCGTGTAGCATTAACATCATTTGACCTTCAATTGTTTCAGGAAAGAAGAATTGCAGATGCAATAACAAATTATAATATACATGTGGGAGCCAAGATCTCAACTCTGAAAGAAAATCAGAGAAGTGCTGTAAAGTATTTAGTTGAGGGCAAGGACTGCATCTGCTCCCTTCCCACTGGTTATGGCAAATCACTGATATATGAATTACTGCCTTTCCTTGACACTGGGTGTCTAGTTGATGTAGTAGTTCCTCTAAATGCAATTCTAAACCAGCAGATGGAAAAGTTAGGTGATTTAGCTATGTCCCTTTGCCCTGGGAAAGTTGACTTCAATAAACTTAAGACTGGCAAATATAGTTACCTTTTTTGCCACCCTGAACAAATTCTAGACAATAAAGCTCTTAATGAGGTTTTTCGCACAGAGGGCCTCAGTGGAAGGAAAATTTATCTTGTGGTAGATGAGGCCCGTTGCATACTGGAGTGGGGAGAGGAGTTTCGTCCGGACTTCAAAAGATTGTTTCAATTAAGATCACTATTTAAAATGCCAAGTACTGGCTTTGTCTGAAACAGTTACAGATGCTGGTAAAAAATGTATTTGTTCAAGTCTTCTTATGAAAAATGTTGAGATAATAAGTGAAAGTCCGGCCAAAGACAATATCAGTCTTACAGTGAAAAGACGACCAAGTCCTACTGCAAGTGGAAACAGTTCTACAACACCCTACGATTATATTTTTCATCCTGTTATAACAAAGTTGAAGCATGAATTACAAGATTTTGAGATCATCATCATTTATTGTAAATCCATGCAGTGGATAGGTTATGGCTACGAGACAGCCAGAAGAATCCTTGGCACGGACTTCTACGCAGGTGATAGCAAACTTGAGCATGCTCGAGTGGTGATGTTTCACTCTTCTATGGAAAAAGAATCTGGCCAGGTCTGTATTTGGGTTTTAACAGTTTATTCATTTCAAAATATATACTTGTTTAGGACAAACTTGAATACCATTGTGGTTTTTATGTCTTATTTCACTAAAACGGCTTGTACAATACATAAAAATAAAGTAATGATCATTTCAGATTATCAATGTTTATTAAAACAAAATAAATCTTTTTAACAGCAACTACATTGATGTTGTTTTAAGCTCACAATTATAACTTCTATTAATATAAATGTGTAATACCAGTAAATAACATCCTTGCCATTCTTATAATATACAATACAGATTTTTGGATTGGTATGAAGTATGGATTAGGTACACGTTTTTAAAACTGATCCGATCTACAATCTAAACAATTTTAATCTTTTCATCAAACACAAAGTTTGTACAATTCTATTTCAATAAATATCTTCAAATTTTTATCAAGCTTTTTGACCACATAAAAGTATCCACTGATGATCCTGTATAAACAAAACCATGTACCTTGTTACAGCTGAAGAACATGATACTGACAACACTTCAAAAACCAGATGCAGAATGTCAGATAAGGCTCATTATTTCATCTGTTGCATTAGGAATGGGGGCAGACTTGAAAAACGTTAAAAGGATAATACATGCAGGACCACCAACTACTTTAGAAGGTAAGTTTAATGTACATTTAAATAAAAAACATATACCTTCCCACATGTTTTCACCATGAATTGTAGATGTAGAATACGTTTAAGCTAGTTAACTTTATTTTTCGTGTTAAAGCTGCACTCTCACAGATATATTGTTTCGACAACTTTTTAATTTTTTGTCTTTGAATTAGCCAATGTTTGCATAAATATCTGTAAACAAGTGAAATGTGATAGCTTACAAAAGATCAGATCACAGTTTCCACATTTACTTTCAAAATATATTTAACGCTTTAATGCTGCACTCTCACAGATTGAACGGTTTAGGACATAAAACATTAATTTTCGAACGGAAATATAAAAATCTGCAATCTGATATTTTGTAAGCAATCTTTAATCATTGGTTTGCAGATATCTAAGATAAAAAAATAAATAAATGTAAAAACGGTATATCTTTTAGTGTGTAGCTTTAAAAAATGAGTTTTGGGCATAAAAAACAACAGTACATATGAAAACCTGTAATCGGATCTTTTGTCAGCAGTGTTATAACAATGGTTTCTAGACATTAATGCAAAAACTGGCTGATTCTAAGACCAAAAAAAGATTTAAAAACGGTATTATCAGGTAAATATCTGTGAGTGCCCCTTTAAGTAAATTTACAAAATATTCTTCATACTTCTGGTACACTCACAGCCAAGTTGTAATCTTTCTTACTAATTATGCCATTTTAATTTTCGTTAAAAACTACAATCAAAATATAATGGAGTCCTTGCATAGTTAGTTATTTTCTATGTCCCAAACAGAAAAGCAACATTACCACAACTCTGTAACAAACATCTTCATTTGTTGCCTTTTATAAAAAATCAGATAATGTGTTTGTTTTGATTATAATACATGTGGCACTTGTGATTCTAGAACCACTCTGAACACCACACGGAACAACATAATCAGAGTTCATTGAATACATAATACTTTAATATAGTGCTTTTAATATGTGCATCTTAACTGTTCTTTTGTTTTCAGCATATATTCAAGAGATTGGTCGTGCTGGACGAACAGGGTCTGTGGCAGAAGCAGTTCTCTACTTCAATAATTCTGACATATCAGGTCAATGTATGAGAAAGGATATGCAAGATTACTGTAGAAACAATGAAAAGTGTCGCAGGGATATCATCAATGAACATTTTGGCTTCCAAACCAAGGAAAAACCAACAATCTGCTGCAATTTTTGTGACTCTCAACTGTGTATTGAATGGGATTTTTTCTAATTTAGCAATAAATAAGTGAAAAATCTCAATTCGGTTCTTCAGCACAGGAAGGGATTTTGATGCACAAATAAAAGTTTAACAAAGTGTTCTTGTAAAAGATTTTTTTTAAATTACTGAAACATTACTTTCTAACCAAGTGTTCATTGTGTCATGCATAATAAAATGTAAATGCTCATGTACAGTACACAATACATCATCATATTTTAATTACATATTATGTTTAACCCTTCCCCCCATGAGCATATCGTGAAAAATGGCCATTTTAACTGAAAAGCCTCCTCTTACAAGTTCAAACTGCTATGAAACTATGAAAAATGCTTCAATACTAATCAAACTTGGCACAAATGATGTTGACTGGACCATTGCCTTTGTAACGACATGCTCAGTCTTAAATTTCCTGTTACCATGGCAACGAGGGGACATCTCAAAATTGCCAAAAATCACTATTTTGCCTCGATTTTTTCCATCAAAATTTATTTCAAAGTGCTGCAACTTCTCAATGGATTGAGATAGAGTCAAAGGCTTTTCAGCGTTGGTTACACGTTACTTTATGATCAACCTGGGGTCATTTTAAGCCTCTCACAAGTCCACAATTTTCTTGGCGATGAGGGGGACTCCGCCCCCCTTCAAACCCCCCAAACAGAAGGGGGCACATCCCCCTTCTGGCAACCCCCTGATGTATTATTTGGATGGGGGACGGCGCCGAAAAAATGGTCACTTTTTTAACAACATTTCTCAAACGAAAAACAGTGTTTGGGGTCTAAATAGGACATTTTTTCACTGTTTGAGGCCTCAAAAGGGGGGGGGGGGCAAAAAGCCGTCGAAACACGCTTATATAAGGGAAAAGGTTAACAAAAAATGATGAAAAACCTTGGAATCACCCAAAATCTAGTTTTTCCATGTTAACATGTGGTCTTTTACCTAATTTTGGTGAAAAATTGTTGTTTTGTAACATTTATATTTTTTTACTTAACAAAAAATGATGAAAAACCTTGGAATCACCCAAAATCTAGTTTTTCCATGTTAACATGTGGTCTTTTACCTAATTTTGGTGAAAAATTGTTGTTTTGTAACATTTATATTTTTTTACTTAACCCTTTCCCCCATGAGCATATCGTGAAAAATGGCCATTTTAACTGAAAAGCCTCCTCTTACAAGTTCAAACTGCTATGAAACTATGAAAAATGCTTCAATACTAATCAAACTTGGCACAAATGTTGACTGGACCATTGCCTTTGTAACGACATGCTCAGTCTTAAATTTCCTGTTACCATGGCAACGAGGGGACATCTCAAAATTGCCAAAAATTACTATTTTGCCTCGATTTTTTCCATCAAAATTTATTTCAAAGTGCTGCAACTTCTCAATGGATTGAGATAGAGTCAAAGGCTTTTCAGCGTTGGTTACACGTTACTTTATGATCAACCTGAGGTCATTTTAAGCCTCTCACAAGTCCAAAATTTTCTTGGCGATGAGGGGGACTCCGCCCCCCCTTCAAAACCCCCAAACAGAAGGGGGCACATCCCCCTTCTGGCAACCCCCTGATGTATTATTTGGATGGGGGACGGCGCCGAAAAATGGTCACTTTTTTAACAATATATCTCAAACGAAAAAAAGTGTTTGGGGTCTAAATAGGACATTTTTTCACTGTTTGAGGCCTCAAAAAGGGGGGGGGGCAAAAAGCCGTCGAAACACGCTTATATAAGGGAAAAGGTTAACTGTACTAAAATTATGATGTGTTGCTCAATTACAGTAAGTTACTGTATCAATTATTGTTCAAAGTTCATAATGTAGCAGCATTTTGTGATGCAGAATCCATTTCAATATATCAGCCATATTCAATTTCTTAATAGGATTTTTTGGTACGTTTTTCAGAGATTCAGACTGACGACCACACACTTCCATGAATGGTTTTATTTGTCTCAGGTCTCTGATAATTTGTTTTTTCATCCTCGAATGAAGATAGTTTTTTGTGTTTGTGAGCACGCTGTACAACCCCAGTTTTTTTGTCAAAGTTGTTTGATATTTCCTCCATCCCAAAGAAAGCACTACTTCTTTTTACCAATGATTTATCAGTCACATTTGATCCCATTGACCGTAAATGTCCTTTGGTCAATCTTACAATATGTTCCATTTGAAGATCTGCAGGAATGATAGTTCTACCAGTGTTAACAAACAGTCCATAAATGCTTTCATTTGCTGTTTTTTCACTCAAGAGGGCAAATTGCTGACATAACAGTCTTAAAATCTCAAGAGCATATTTTGACTTATTCTTATGGCCTTTCAACACCAGCATGATATACTTCATGTGACAGAGCAAACGAATCCGACTTGGTGATTTCACAATGTCAAATAGTTCGAGAAAAATGAGTCCAAGTTCCAATACAACTTTTCCTTATGACAATACAGCGTCAGTTCCATTAACATCCACATCTTCACTTGATATGTGCCGCCTGCTTTCAGATACTATGTTTAAAACAAGTGGTTGTACAAAAGTCGTCATCCAATGCTTTATTTCAGGAACGGCCTGTTAAAAAATAAACTCATTTACAAATATGTTTTTTAAAAACGAGTTACCATGTTCAGCGTATTAAGAAACTATTGTGCTATCTATCAATTTAATACCAGAAATCCACATCCATTACAGTTGTATTACTAAATGTTTTTATAACATGTTCAAAGGCTTAACAATGCTGCAGAAATGGTGAACTGTCTATATTAAAGTACAAAATTGTTCATAAAAGCCGAATTTCCAATAACTATCTGTCACCATGGAAGCAACATGGATAACAGTATGTTCAAAATGTATTCAACCACCTTCATTTGTACCTATCACAAGTGTGTGTCACATTGCCATTGAATACAGTAATGTACATATTTTTATTTTTAACATTTTTTTTTATTTTTTATAATTTATTTATTTTGGTCAATATGATGAATATAATTATGTCTTATGAAAAATTATTCCACAATTTTTCATGAAAGAAAATTACTATCTTTATTTATACAATAATTATACTAATTTTTTTTCATGAAAAATTGTGGAATATTTTTTATAAATATGACATTGAATCACTATCTTGACCAAAAATATAAATAATAAAAATATAAAAAAATATAAAAATAAAAAAATATATTCAGCAATATGACGAGCGCCTGTGGTTAAACTAAACCTGAAATAATTTCTCTTAAAACTCGTAACATGTTTATCTTACCTGTCCTTAGATTCACAGGAAATTTGACATTCATTGCCTCGGCACATTTTGTCCAGTACATAGTATCTGTACCATGTTGCTCATTACATCTTACATACTGGTGAAGGAACTGCTTTTCTTGGATCGACCAAGGGCAATGTCTGGCCACACGGTCCTGTAATAAAAATTAGTTAGTGTCACGATGTTCGCTTGATGAGCAAATTAGACTTTGTTTTGGGGTTGTGTAAAATCACTAATACTGTTGTGTGGTTTACAAGAGGTTATTTACAACAAACTAAATAATACTAAATACTGTAAGATTATATGTAAAACATGAATAGTATATTTGTTTAAATATTTTAACCGTAGAAATAATAATGATAATTATATAAAACAAACAATGTTGATGTAATCCGTTAATTAAACTATCTGAGGTTATTGTCCATGTTTTCTTGTTAATGTAAGTCTTGGTCTTCACTGTTCCTTTTATACAGTTTTTGAATTATATACGCTTTCCAACTTTATAACTTTATCTCTTTAAAATATGAACTATGTTCCAATTTATAAACTAACATGACAACTTCCGTCAAAGAAAATCTTCGTATGTAAACTATCAACTTCCCAAAGGAATCTTCTTATAAAATGAAAGACTTCATTCAATAAATCTTCTCAAATATTAACGTGAACACAAATCTGCATCTAAGCCTGAACCTCAACCTGAACTCAACCTGAACCCAACCTGAACTCAACCTGAACTCAACCGTCTGGAACCCTACAAAAGCATTAAAATATCCCTAAGTCCCTTACGTATGTATATAGATTAACATTACGTTTATAAACTCTCATTAAAAATAACTAATTTAAAATGCATTTGTAATGATTAACCAACAATAATAATCTTCACATTATTATCTTATAATATATGTATCTAAATAATTATAGACAATCAGCATATTATACATGGGAAAAAGTTAACTCAATAAATAATCATTCCTTAGACTGTGCAACAGACTTATCATATGCTTAATATTATGTAAAGAACAATTAATTCTAAATGAGTCTTAAACAGTTGAAAAAATAATAATAAGTCTAACATACCGTCAGCTTTACTTATTCCCACACTTCCTTTTTATAACTTATTTGTCATCAATGTGACCACTTAATTTATATGATTATGTCAACGATGTGACTTTAAACTTGCTACAGCTAAATTGTCATCGATGTGACTTTTTAACTATGTCAAAGATTTGACCACTTTTCTTTTATACACACATTATCGATTCCACCTCTCAGTCTAACCGCTTTCTGGCAAATGCACCCTTTTATCTTGCATACACATTATTAATATATCTCTCTCACTAAAATAAACATAAAATAAACATGATTCCCACACTCTGTTAAAATAGCAGATCATTAGGCTAGACGGGTGATAACGAGATCCCTTATAATTCCTTTGATTTGATCTGATCATAGAAAGTTAACCTCTAGTTCACCCTAAATTCCCCTAGAATTTGTCTGGTACCTAATTGATAAAACTTGATGTTCTGGCTTGTATTATTAGAGCTTTAGTAAACAAATAAAAATTGAAAGATTTTCTTGACACACCCCCCAACTCAAGGTGAAATTATATATTTCATCCAAACATTCTAATTATATTCTACTAATACCTAACTATAAGACTAATATTCTATGATAATCATATATGTACAACCCTCCTGCCAAGTTTCTTACTTAATTTGACCTTAATTTGACAGTACTAAGCTCGGCTGAGATAATCAGCTCCAACATTATCTGAGCCCTTTATAG